GATTGTCCTCTTTCAGTTTCGGTATGTTAAATTTAGAAATCTCGTTCTTTCTTTATTCGTTCACCATTTGGAGAATCATGTGAACATGGCAGATGATAACTCGATGGTAGTATTGTATTTAGGCGTTGGACATATTTGTTATCAAGTCTCCCGCGTTGGTCATATTTATTGCAATAGATCGTTTAGATGTTTACTGCTCGTCGTGGTTGTCCTCTTTCAGTTTCGGTATGTTAAATTTAGATTTCTCGCTCTCTCTCTTTATTCGTTCACCATTTGGAGAACCATGTGAACATGGCAGATGATAACTCGATGGTAGTATTGTATTTAGGTGTCGAACGGAAAGGATTTCTGTTACCGAGACAAAACATATTCTTGACGCATTTATATTTCTCGCAACCTCATTTTAGCAAAGTGAAATCGATAATTCTTATTCTCCTCTATCGAATTGAAAAAGATCGACTTGCTATATTGAGACAAGAGTAACTTTATGTATTCTTGCGTTTAGAATAAATGTTCCCTCCATGTTACAACGCACGAAGTTGGCACCGCGATATTCGACGAAAGACTATCATTTCATTCTAGATTTTAGAATTTTTCATTCAAGATTTAAATACTCCTTTCTCTACAATAAATGTGATTGGCGCTATGTCGATCCTATTGTATGATACATTCAAGTGTAACAGCATTGGAGCCAGAACTTTTTTTCTGTGAGTGTATAATAGTTTCACCGAGGGTGACCCGAAAATGGGTCGAAACGTTCGGAGATTGATTAATAAATTCAATAAAAAGTTGGATATTTTCGCCCGAATACCTGCGTTTGGTTCGCGTTGGCTCTTCCGCCCCCACCAAATTTATTGCAATGTTGTTAAACTTGTCATCAAAAGGAATCGAAGTAATTTGCAATCCGCGCGATTTCTCCACGCCGCTCATTATCCGCGTGAGTTTTTTTTTCCCGTCGAGCTATAATGACACGTTCCTTTGGAGATCATGAATCATCCATGTTGAAAATAGCGATTGCGTATAATGACTTTTGAATGTCGCGGATGCGCGAGCTATACGGTTTCCCGAAAAAGTCATTTAGAATTATCGTTAACGCACATTATTTGCAAACACCTATTTAAATTTGTCGCGTGAAACATTACTGGATTACGAAAGTACCGGAGCTTACGTGTGTGGCGGCTATTTACGTCTGATTCCCCGGTACATTGATCACAGCTGCGAACGTTTGTCGGCGCAAAAAGACCACGTGGAATCGCGGCTATCGTCCGTAATCGAGCGGTGTAAGTTAACAAACGGAACTAGACCGGCGGAAGTCGAACGCGAAAATTGCCTCTGTTGCCTCGTTTACCTTTTTTCTTCTTCTTTTTTTTTTACGCGCTGATCGTGGGAACGTACGGTATCTATCCGCGCTAACCAAACGGGCAGAAGTGTGTTTTAGAGACCGCTTTTCACCCGTTTAGCTTTCATAACACCTTCTTTCCGAAGGGGAACAATTTCACGCGTAACGTGCTTTCGCTTTACACCGGCAATAACGCGCATCTACATTCTTCTCGAGGCACAGAGTATATTTTCGTGCTTCTCCGGAGAACGAAATCGGCAGCGAGGCGGTATGAATTTCGATGATTCAAACGTGCGCGAGAACAAGACGTCGGCGCTGACAGAATTTACTTCCACGGCAGCGCCAGCTATTCTTTCGACTCTTTTTTTTTCTCTCTCTCCTCTCTCGCCTCGTGAAAGCGCTCGTAATATCGGTACTTTGCGCTGACGCGCTTGTAAAAGCCCCCACCGTCTTCTGATGCGAAGATAAAGTAGCCGTCTGTAATATTCAGGTTGCTACCTCCGAGCTTTCTCCGCGAGGAGGACAAATCGTCATGCCTCCTTCGCGGCTTATGCGTTTTCTTATGTCGAGCCTGAAAGCGCCGCGCCGCGGCGGGGCTTTGGTAGCTACGAGTTTCCTCCTCCGAGCTACTTCCCGTTCGGTTTATGATGACGTAAAAGCTAACCGAAAACGCATTTCGTCGGCCCTGAGTTATTTATAGGGGAGGAA